GGGAAATGTTGTTAAATATGCAGTGCTATTTGCCCGTGCCGTTGTAATAGGACACCCCCTTCAAGGAGATTCGCCCCCCCTCCAACCATAGGAATATCGCCCCCCTTTAGGATATTCACCCCCCATATATGCAATGTGGTTTATCCAAATTTCGTGATACGTTCATCTTATTAGTGCCTTACACGTTTGAGAATTTAACTCCGCAAAACTAAAGCTTTTTTGTCTTTTTTGAAACGTATTATTGGAGTATTGGGAAGTTTTACCATTCAGAGATTTACAAACTAATATTGAAACTGTAAAAACAGTTTTTTACGCGCATTCATTAATGACTACTGAGTATAAATGAGAACTTATAAACCATACATTTTCCGATAACGACAAAACGCTTGTGTAGCCTTTAGTCGCTCTCAGTGTCTAATAATTTTTTTGAGGGGGGAGGGGGCAAATTGGGGAGGGGGCAAAAAATAATTGGGGTATCCACCTGCCCCCCTCCCCTCCCGGCACTGATTACAAGTGGAATTTCGCATGTGAAAGATTTCACATGAAGTAAAAAGTGAAATTTCATATATGAAAGGAATTCACATAAAGTTAGAAGCGAAATTTCATATGTGATTTAGAGGATTTCACATGGGCATGTAGTAAAACACTGACTACCGGAACACCGCCAGAACACCGCCGGAACACCACCGGAACACCACCTAACCCCAACCCTAACCCCCAATCCTAACCCTAACCCCAACCCTAACCCCCAATCCTAACCCTAACCCCAAACCCTAACCCCAAACAAAATGGTGGTGTTCCGGTGTTCCGGTAGTGTTCCGGTGTTCCGGTAGTCAGTGTTTTACTACATGCCTTTCACATGAACGGTAAAAAGTGAAATTTCACATAAAATCATGCACTGTAAAACATCAAATTCTAGTCTAGAATAATAGTCTTATTTTTTTAGACTTTTTTTTTTATCTTAAGTAAGTAAGTAATTATTTCTTATTAAGCAATATTTCAAGAAAAAAATCTCGTTTTGAGAACAAGGCATGGATTTGAATATTTGAGAAATTTTTTTCTTACTTTAAGAATAACATTTTTCCAACCTAGAATAATATTCGTATAATCAGAAAAAAATTTTGAAATGGAGTTTAATTAATATTACTTTAAGTCCTTTAAAATCGCATAGTAAACTAGGGAGCGCTTTTTGGTGTATCTATTTTAGAAGACAACGCGCGCAATGAGTTGTGGGATATCGCGTATCAAATGTCATGTGTGATTTGCAAATTTTCGATTTTTGTGGGTAGCCGCGCATGCGCAGCTAACCACTATGTGAGAGACTGAAGCGCGATCTTCCGTTTCTCTGTGGCTCTGTGGCCTTCGTGTCCGCGGTGTCCTGCTGCGCGGTTCCTTTTATCCTTGAAATACGAACCGTCTATCGACCACTAACGCTCATACTGTACAGAGATGTGTATAAATTCTTAGTAAAGTCTTTATTGTAATATGTTTTGTCAGGTCGATAGTCATTTCCAACGCATATAGAATCGAATATGTCGTTGTTTTTATAATCACAGCTTGTACAAGGGTCATTGGGGTTAATATTAGCGCACGGTGTCTGTTTTATATCGTGTAATGTCATATTTAAATTAAACACACACATCAGTTTGATCAAACATTTTATACGTATTAGAAAAATATAGTAATTAATGATATAGAGCGCGACGATTGGACATATTTACGTTAGTCTATATCGAAGGAATGTTGACGAACATATAGGTATATAGAATCGAATATGTCGTTGCTTACATAATGTTTGTAAGGCCACGTCCCAGAGAAAGTAAATAAACATAGACGTGCGTACCGGAGTCAGGTTTTTCGACATCGACATCAGACGGACTGGCTCAGGCATCTGGAGCTGGTCCGCAAAGTAATTCGGTCATAAACTGTTTCTATTCTAACCTAATTGTTGTGCCTACGGTCCCTTCTACTTCTAAATGTGAACTTACAAACTTATTTGATTTTTGCCTTCTTAATGCCAGATCGGTTAGAAACAAGACTATGATTATTAAAGATTTTGTTGTGGATAAAGATACTGATATTCTTGCTTTGACGGAAACTTGGCTCCCTCCAAGTGGGAACGATTTGATTATTGGGGATCTATGCCCAACAGGTTATAGTTTTCTGCATACACCGAGACATGGATCAATCGGTGGGGCGTTGGTCTCTTATTCAAGGAAAGTCTTAATATTAAGCGTATTAATAGGAGGTATTTAGGTCATTTGAATACCTTGACAGTTCTTTTTTGAACTTTCTACATATTAGAATTATTGTTGTATATCGGCCGCCTCCTTCATCGGCTAACTCATTGACATCTACTCTATTCTTTGAAGAGTTCTCATCCTTTTTGGAAGGAATTATTGTATCACCCGGGCAACTCTTGATAGCTGGAGATTTCAATTTTCATCTGGACAATCCTAATGACCCTCTTACCAAACGGTTCGTGGATCTTCTCGCTTCCTTTGATTTGAAGCAGTACATTTCTGGATCAACACATGCAAGTGGTCACACACTGGATTTAATTATAACGCGATCTGAAGAAAACATTGTTAACCATTACAATATCTTCGATCCTCTGATTTCTGATCATTCAGTTGTGCATTTACAACTATTGATTAGGAAACCGAAGTTTGTGAAGAAACATTTGCTTCTTCGTAATTTGCGGGCGGTTAATATTCATAAATTCAAAACGGATGTACTAAATTCTTTTCTTCTTAAGAATGTTACGACTATGGATTTGGTATCATTGGTGAATGAGTATGATTGTCTTCATACTATCTTAGATAACCATGCACCGATTAAATCCCGGGAAATTACATTGCGCCCTAAGGCACCCTGGTATACTAACGAAATCAATGATAAGAAACGAATTCGGAGACAACTTGAGAGAAAATGGCATAAAACAAGGACGAATGCTGATTGGAATCGCTATAAACAACAATGTTATGCTGTAAATAAACTTATCGACTCCTCAAAATCGGCTTACTATACCGACTTAATTAATAATGGATCATCTGATCAAAAAACCCTTTTCAAGACTGTAAGCAATTTGCTGCATACAAATACGATTATTCGCTATCCATCTTCTCCTGACCCAATGTCACTTGCCAACTCATTTAGTGATTTCTTCACTCAGAAAATTGTTAAAATACGAGGTGATATCGAAGATGAACTCTTGAGTAAAAACATAGAAAATCCTATACCTGATGCTGATTCATGTCCTTATGAATTTCACACCTTCAGGGAGGTTGGAAAAGACGAAGTGCTCCATTTAATCCAACGTATCGCAACTAAATCCTGTTCTCTGGATCCACTCCCGGTGGTCATGCTAAATCACTGTTTTAAAGACATCTTACCCGTTGTAGTTAGAATAATCAACCTCTCCTTGGAAAGTGGTACAATGCCTGACTCTTTGAAGATTGCTGTTGTTCAACCGCTATTAAAAAAGTACAATCTTTCCTATGAAGAATTCTGCAGTTTTCGTCCAATATCAAATCTGAAATTTGTCTCGAAATCTATTGAGAAAGCAGTTGCTGTACAATTAACTGATTATCTTACTGAAAATCATCTACATGAGAAATTCCAGTCTGCTTATAAACCTTGTCATAGTACTGAAACAGCGCTATTGAGGGTTCAAAATGATATCCTTCAAGCTCTAGATAACGGTGATTCTGTTATTCTTGTCCTACTGGATCTGTCGGCGGCTTTTGACACCGTGGATCATTTAATGTTATTAACAAGACTATCGAAACGCTTTGGCATAAGGGGTCGTGTGTTGGATTGGCTTACCTCATACCTTACATCCAGGAAACTGTTTATTCGTGTTGAGGGAACTGATTCGTTATTGAGTGATCTTGATTGTGGTGTACCTCAGGGATCTGTGTTGGGTCCTCTGTTGTATTCACTCTATACTGCCCCTCTCGCGGATGTGGCTAGGCGCCACAATCTGCGCTTTCACTTTTTTTCTGATGATGGGCAACTTTACATTGCATTCAAAACGAATGATCGTGATGATTTAATATCATCTAAGATCCGTATGGAGAAATGTATACTTGAATTGGGAAACTGGTTGATGTTGAATAAATTGAAACTAAATAGTGGCAAAACGGAGCTTATATTAGTCCATTCACGCTATCATCTGATGCCTCCCTTAAATTATATCATGGTGGGAAAGGAAAAAATTGTGCCAACTGTTTCAGCAAGAAATCTGGGGGTGATTTTTGATGAGTGGATCAGATTGGGCGAACATATTAATGGTATCTGCAAGTCAGCTTACTACCATATTAGGAATATTTCAAGAATTAAGAAGTATCTACCTCGAAATTGCTTAGAAATAATTATTCATGCATTTATAACTTCAAGACTGGATTATTGTAACTCCCTGTTGTATGGTGTACCCAAATATTTGCTTCAGAAGCTTCAGAGAGTCCAAAATACTGCAGCTCGTTTACTAACCGATACTAAGAAATCGGCGCATATCACCCCAGTTCTTATCGAATTGCATTGGTTACCTGTCCAATACCGTATTCAATTCAAGATTATACTTCTTGTCTACAAAGCTGTTAATGATCTTGCTCCATCGTATCTGAAGGAACTTATGCTGTGTCGTACTTCGCAGCGTACTCTTCGATCAAATGGAAATGAATTGCTCCAGATTCCTTATTCTAGACTAAAGACATACGGAGACAGATCGTTCTGTGTTGCTGGACCAAGATTGTGGAATGATTTACCTGTTCATCTTCGGATGTGTGAATCATTAACCATTTTTAAGAAGTTTCTTAAAACATATCTTTTTAACTTGTTTTTAAATAGTGTATGATGTATTCTATAGTTTTAACATTCTTAACACTAGTTTTTAAGATTTTATTTTGTATTACTGTAAAGCGCCTAGAACAGTCTTGGTTTGTGCGCTATATAAATGTTTATTATTATTATTATTATTATTATTATTATTATTGACTTCACGCTTATTTGTTTCTCTTCAAATTCTTCTCGAAAATTTATATTATATCATGCATGTTTATATCTCCGCTCCTATGCTTTTTTGGTAGTAATTCCTTGAAATGTATATTTAGACCAACTTAGAGATTGCTAGGATTTTTTCGTTGTGTTTTATTTCTTTCATGGCTTTAAAAGGAAATGACTTGCTTTCTTGGTTTGCATTTGGGAGTAGTTTTTGAGCTGTTTTGTTGGGTTTTTTCTACGTACAGTTCAGTTATCAGATACCTCTTCCGCGAATAAAACATGACATTGGTTTGCCCCGTCTCGGGAGTATAATATTTTTTTTTATTTTCAGCTAATTTGACCATATGTCAACACAAGTTGGATCTTGGTTTTATATTGGACAACTCTGGCAGTGTTGGATTTAGTAATTTTGAACGAATGAAATTATATGTCAAAGATCTCACAGACTTCTACAACCTAGGCCCAGAAGAGACACGAGTCTCCGTAATGTCGTTTTCAAATTCTGCAAACATTCATATTGCGTTCTCGGCATACTTTTCGAATAAAAACCAGTTTGATTCGGCCACTGATAGCATCTCGTTTACTGGTGGAGGGACTGCAACAGCATTGGCTTTAAATATGGCTTACAATGATATGTTTACGTCACGTTATGGAGCGAGAGGCCCAGGTAAGGATCTTGCCTGCGTGGTTGACGGTCTGCCTGCGGCAGAACACTCGAAAGGCAGGCGATGCAAAGAAGATGAAAGTGGTTCGCCCACTGATCTAAATTTCGCCTCGCAAGTGGACTGTCTGCTATGTGAACAAGTAAAGATCTGATCACATGAGTCTGCCCGGGCAAGGCCCTGTTTATATCAGTTTTGTTTACGGGAAAACGTGCCTTGAACGTCAGTTTGTTCTTATTATTTAGGTATTTACATCCGATACCTTCCCTTAAAATGTGTTTCAATTTTTCAGAGTTCAAGAAAGTTTTAGTGATACTAACAGACGGGCAAAGTAACACAGGACAGGTTGGTTATCCAGCCCAACAATTGAAAAACTCTGGTGTTGTGATATTCAGTGTAGGGATTGGACAGGGTGGTATATCTATGCGGGAATTGCGAGCTATGTCCTCAGATCCAGTTGATCAGCATGTTATTACATTGGACAACTTCTCTCAACTAGAAAAGCTTGCTGGGGAAATGTCTGCGCAGACTTGTAATGGTAGGTTTTATGTATGGTGGCATTGATGGTAATGGTGATGGTGGTGATGATGGTGGTGATGGTAGTGATGATGGTGGTGATAGTACTGATGATGGTGGTAATGGTAGTGATGGTGGTAATGGTGATGATGGCAGTGGCGGCGCTACAGGGTTTGGGGGGGGGGG